CAATCTGATTGGCCCAAGTTGTTTTCATTGTGTGCGTTTACAACCAATCTGATTGGCCCAAGTTGTTTTCATTGTGTGCGTTTACAACTAATCTGATTGGCCCAAGTTGTTTTCATATAATAATTGTCTATATGAATGTTTGATTCTACAAATAAAATGAGGCCATGTTTCTCGTGGTTTTAGTTTTCATTTTTAAGGTATATCATTCGCCCAGTATTTAATGATGATAGTAATTCCCGTTTGATCCATTCAGTATTTTATTAAAAACACACAAAAATATAAGATACATAATAACATTATTTTTTTAAATGTTCCCGCAAAACGAGACTGTGATATCTTTTGTAGTAATTTATTCCGTATTAGAAAATGTTCTTAATGACGTTTTTGTTGGATGTTAAGTTGCGTAAGGAAATATTCAAGATAAGTATAATCCAGCGCAATAATGAATTATGAATTGTTTCAGAAAAAATACATATGAAACATAACCAAACATCATTGATATCTCTTATATGGAGTATTTATAAACTTTTTTTTATTATCGCACTACGTCTCTAAATATCAATTATTGTTTTTGCACTTGATATATTTCACTATACAGTTTCAGCAATCATGCGAACGTACAACCTGCACGATTAGTTTACCAGCTATATGTAACTTAGCTGTCAAAAAAACAAAACAAACAAAAAAACACGCATTTTGCGATGAAAATAAGAAAGTATTCCTTTTTCAAATCAAGCCAAAATGGTATTATATCAAAATAATTTTCGTCTTTTTATTTAAACTAAATCTGATCTGTAAACGAAAGATTCAAATAGACGTTTATAACTAACTGTGAAGGTGGAAACTGACGTAACTTCTTATAAGTGTGTATTGAGGAGGATACATTTGAATCATATAATGTATATATAACATTATTAATATTGATCGTTAGGTATTTTCAAATGTATTAAGATATTGTATCCCTATGTGGTAATATCGGCGTGAATTAAATATTTTAACTTCATACACCTGTGTCTTGTTTCATTTTACACTTGAGAGAGCAGTAAATCTGTATTTATGTTTCGAAAATGTTGTAATATAAATACTTAACAGTCTGATCTGAGTTGTTATACTTGATGGAGTACAGATCCAATAGTTTAATAACAGATAATTGAACTATTTTGTTCTAAAAACATTTTACACGTATAAAGACAACACCAAGCTAGAATGAAGGATCGGCCACATATAAATGTGATATATATATATATAAGCCAAGTTTATATAAAAGGGAAAATTCAGTAAAGATTTAATGTAAGAGTTGGTAAATTAAACAAGAAAAAACTAGAACATACTTGGTCCTCTGATTTAATTATTATTATTTATTGCAACTGGAAGAAGCAACAACATGAATATAAAAATAGCGCCAAGTTTCCCGAATATTTTATTATTCAAATTTTTAAATTACAATTTTACGGAATTAACTCGTACACATTTCTTGGCCCCCCTTTTTTTATTTTGATATAATCTTTTTAGGGACGATTCCTTTAGTCTGACGGCTCTTTTTGTGTGTACACGTGATATGTTTTGGTCAGATATCACTACTTTTTTAATACAATTTTTCACAACGCTTAACTTGAATTTAATGATAATTTATTTTTCTCTTTTTACTTATGTATACACAAACAACTTTATGAATATTTATGCAGTAAAGTATGCCATATGTTATATAATTTGAAATATCTAAAAATAAAAGATTCATGCTAAAGTGAAATTTTAAACCATACTATCATATGACACTTCAACGTGGATTTTTAATCTCTGAGCACAAGACTACCTTTTAATTTAACTTTTCCATCCACTTCTAAACATCAAAGTCACTCTCTGTTTTAATTCTGATCGCATTTTTTCCCTAGTGGCTGAAGAATTCATTAACCATTAAAATGTATGAAAGGTGTTTATTTTTAATTACTATACACGTTACAGATGTCAAACCAGTTTCATTCTACAGTTCAAATCAGTATCTAGCTATGTTATTGCTTAAATGATATTCCCACTTTGTGTACATTATGTTTTGCTTTCACAACAATGAGTCTCCAGATTTGACCAGAAGCTCAGTCCTGTATACGGAATCACTACAGTATCGTTCTATTTTCTAAATTGGCTGGAGTCACTGAAGGTATGTCACGATTGGGTATGAATGGTTATACAGCTAGACAGATAGTCAAATAAACTTAAAAACTGCCCTAAACAACGTGCAATGATGCGTTTAGTAACTTTGCCCAGATTTTATTACAATATTCACAGCCATTTTGCTGTAGGCTGGCGAAACAATATTAAATGATAAATAAAATCAAAGGGGCGATCCCTATTATGAACCACTACTGTAGTTCATGATACA